TAATTGCTGATCAAGCACGAAATGTGGGATATTTTTTGCTATGAATTCATAAATATGCTTTTAATAATTCAGATAATTCAGATTTTCTATTATTATATAATTAAAATATGTTATCATATAATTAAAAATATGATTATTTTCTATTTTTTTTGAAGATTTACGAGGATATTTTTATTTTTAATTACATTAATCGATTTTTTAAAATGATTTTATGATAATTCAACTTATATATAGTATCATTGAAATAGAATAGCCATGTTTCCAATTTTTTTCCTTTTTTAATTTTATCTTGTGATTTTTAATTTCTCCTTTTTAGATTGTAGTGAGCTATGTCTCGAATAGAGGAATAGAATATTTTCAATAAGAGATCTTTTAATTTGTTTTTTCAAGGCATCGAACTCCATTTTTATGATGAATTCGAATACAAATACACCCATAAGAAATGGCGAATTCAATCAAACATGTTTCACTAAGAATGAGTATGAAAGTTCCAAGCTTATTACAGATCCACCGGTTCTTCTTTTAAATTGCTCTCTTTACTCCATCTTATTTTATTCAAACTTGGCGTTTCCACCGTTTTTTCCTTTATTTTTAATTTAAAAAAGTTTATATAAACTAATATGAATTTTGTACATTCATCAATATTTTCCTCTTTTTGTAAATTTTATTTTCAGCCGCTTGATGAACGAATGTTCATATACTCGGAAACCAAGACCCAGAAAATGTCGCCAGAAAAGGAAATAATCCAGTATCCATCTCAAATGCACGAATATAAGTATATTGAACCTGAAGAACGAAGTAAAATAATGGCATCCACCAAAGAAGTTATAAATAAATCTTCCAAGGTGTTTTTTTATAATTCATTTATTTTACGCAGAATTTAACATTACTCGGATTTCATAAATAACATGAGCATTTTAATTTCCTTCAGCTGTCCAATGAAACAACTCTTCTTTTGAATAATATGTTACAAAAGAAATTAAATGATAGCGGATTGCTAAACAATTCTACAGGGCAAGATTCGAATAAATCGTTCTTTCAGCAAAGATTTTTAACGACTATTCCTCAGAAAGTTAACTGGGTATTTTATTTTGGAAATTTCATGTTGAAGCATCGCTTTTGGTGCTTCTGATATTTATTTTATGTGATGAAATTTCTTCACTGAATTATTTTGCTTTTAAAATAGCACAGTAATTAAATGTGGTGATTTCAGTTTAATTTTAAATGTTCTTTTTCACTGAATTTTTCAAGGCGTTTTCTACCAATTATATTTAATCTTTTAATTATTAGTTTAATAAATTGGTGAACTGATAAATCAATTAACCAGTCTTTAAAATTATTAGAAATTTTTTGCCCATCTTGTTTCAAGATAAAAAGACCAGTCTATCGAAATTTAAGATTGGAGTACCGAAATCTGATCAATCGTTACCTGCGCCTTTGAAAAAAAATATTACTGAAACTGTAGAAAGACGCCAAGAATTAATTAGATCTGGCAACAATCATTCATCTATTCGGTATACTTTTTTTGTTAATTTAGATTTCAATCTTTTTGTAAATATAAAATAAAATTATTTATTGGAAAAGTTGTTTGAATTTGCAATTCACAGATTTAAATGTGCGAAATATCTATCTCCTAATTTTAAGCCTTTTTTTAGTGATAGATTGCCTCGAGGTCAAACGAGAAAGCTCGCTTCATTTTTTGAATCAATGGAAAAAAATGCAAAAGTTCAAATGGTATTGGAACGTGATAGGCTTTCTTCTGTAAGAAGCAAATCAGTACCAACTCGGAATGATTTTTCACTTGAAAATCGAAGTTCTGCGGTTTTTTTTCGGAAAGATGCCGAAAGTAAATTGGTTTACAATATTGTTTTTCCAATATATAATAGTGATAAATATGGTTTATTTCTTCAAATTTCTTCAAATCATATCAAATCAAGTTGGTGAAAAGATCTGGAAAGTGATTCATTTTTTTTACTGTTTAATTCTGAGAGAAAATTTAGGCAAAAAAATGACAAATGATTTTGCAATCACTAATGTAAATTGGCCAAAAATGCATGCGAAGGAACGTGACTTCATCGCTTTGCAAAATCAAATGACCAGGAGTGCTTATCAAGCACAGGTTGAAGATGCAAAGAATAAGAATTCAGATCGCAACGTGAATCCGAGGTAGAAATGTAGATTTCGATAATTTAGATTGGTTTTCGAATTTTATTTTGGTTTTTGCAGAGTTAATTTAGTGACTGATTCAAATCGTGACTCTAGCAGTAAAGTTGAACAGTTGAACAAAGTTGGAAATTTGGAAAGTAATTACCAAAAACATGCAGAAAAACATTCGCATCACGCCAACAATTGCCCTTGTAGAAAGTGGGACCAACATCAGTATGAATTAGGAGTATTAAAGGTTTCGTTAAACTTTCCTTTCTATTCATTTCATTCATTTTTAAAAAATTATAGACTTCAATTTTATTTAGATTGGTCTTTTGGTAAATTTTGCCATTTATATACATTCATTCAATTTCAGGCTTTCACTGATCTTAAGCGATATGATAGCGATTATAAAAGAAGAACCAAGGAGAACTTTTCAAAGGTGAAGGTTTTTGTGGTATTCGTAATATTTGATGGATAGTATTGAAATAGGATCATTTTGATTACATAAATGTCATATTTTAGGATTTCAATTATAATTGCCTGGAAAATCGAAGAGAAATCAATGATATTCCTCTTTCTGCTCAAGATCCAGTTCATGCTTATGCTCATCCATCTGATGAAAAAACTGCATATCGCTGTCGTTCTTCATTTAGTGACAGTAATAAATACAAGTTTCTATACAAAAGAGACAAAAATAGTTGCTAGTAAATACGACATTTTTTATCTCTATTTTAGTATTCCTCAAGATTTTTAAATTTTATGTGAATGGTATTGTAATGAAGAGGATATAAAAATTGCTGTGTTTACAGGTAAAAAGCAACAGTTTATTTCGATTAACGTAGATGATCATATAGCGGAAGTAGATAAAGCTTTTGATTTTGTTCACTATGTTAGTTTCCATTCAACTGGTTATTTCGGACCACTAAAAAATATTTAAATACTAATCCTTGCGCTTATGGATATTTTATCAATATTAAAGTTTAGGATGAACCAGCTATTGATTTAAATTCTGGAAACCTACCACCACATATGAGTTCTCCATCAGAGGTTAAGGACTCGAGTGGATTTATTGATAAATTTGAATCAGTCAAGCATGATCAAGAAACACAAAGATTTTCCACATCTGGAAAAGATAATCTGCAATATTCCGTGAGTCGATTTATGTAATTCTTCTAATGCACTTTTTTTTTCGATCCATTTCTGGTTAGCCAAGATATCTTTTGAAATCGGTTAAATATCCGATTGAAAATGGAAGTATAGCAGCACTTAGGTTTCCAAAAGGCATGTTTAATCCTGCCAGGAATAGACGGTGTTAGCAAAATAAAAGCAGCAATCTATTTAGCTATTCTTTTCCTAACCTGTTATCTTGTACAATTAATTAATAATTGGAAAATATTCATTTTATTCATATTCATACTATTTGAATACAGAAATTTGAAGATAAATATAGAAATTTCATGATCGTTTTCATTATTGCCTCTTTTTCACAAATTTTGGTTGTTACTCACAAAGATTTGAAAAAAAAATTCTCTGGAAATTCATTAAATGGGGATAAATGGCAATGAATTATGGAAAGTGGGCATAGTTTTGAATCGAATTTTTTTTCATACCTTAATTTTTTTCATCAATCGTTGCTGAAATTTTTATATTACCACATATCTCAATGGACATTTTCAGGTTTCAATATATCGCAAGCATGAGAAAGATCATTTAAATCCTCAAATTTGCTCATCCTCTATTTCTTCAAAAATTGCATCTGAAAAAAATAGCGTTCAGGTTATTTAAAATTTTCGTTGATATCATGATACTTAATATAATAATATTATTATAATTACTTAATATAATATAATAATATTTACCTTTACCTCGATATTATATACCTTCCTGCCTGGAACTAAGACTTATTTTTCCATAGCCCTTGCCGTTTAGTTGCAGATTTTATTTAGACTTTATCTTTAGCACATTTATTGATTATAATTTTTGTCAATATTTTTAATATATACGCCTTTTATCTGATCGTGATTATTGAGATTAACAGTATTTATATTATAGACTTAGAGGCAGATTGAAGGTTTTGTCTTTTTTGCATTCTGTTCATCATTGCAATCAGTGAATTTGGGCCTTATGATAAAATAAACTTCGAACTTAGGAAGTTTTCGAGCGAGAATCTGCTGATATGAGGTCGACAAATCCAATGGCTACGTCGACACCACTGGAAAGCTCACCATCACTGCTAAGTAGCACTAAAAGAGTCACCAGCCAGATGTTAAATGACAGTTTTGATTCTATCATATCAACTTCTTATTTTCAAAATTACTATCGTCAGCATGATTTTATTACGAAAGTATTTTTTTCAAGTTTATATATGTCATTCTATCAGGGATATCCTGGAAGCTTAATGTTTATCTTTTAATTTAATAGTACATTATAGCTTCTTTGCGCAAAATTTGCATATTTATCTTAAAAATCGAAAACTATAGTTTTTCTTAAAATCTAAATTATCGTTGTCAAATTGCAGGAAATAGTCGATGCAATAGCTATTCAAGAAGATGAAATTATTCGAGCAAGAAATGAAATAATTCGATGCAAAAAACACTGTGGATTTAGTGGAAATTTAACCGAAGTATTTTTTTTAGATTTATTTGGACAAACTGTTTTTTGCATATTTTTTTGCTAATACTCATTGTATCCATTCCTCCAATTTTTTTAAACTTACATTCTACATAGGGTAAAGAATTTCAGCATAAGGTCATAGAAGTGGATATAAAAGTAAATCTGGATCTCTATCATAATTACTGAGTTATTCAGCTATTTGATGAGTATACAATGGTCGATGAATTGCCCATTTTCAGTTAAACGCTCAACGAACTTTATTGTTGGCACGAGAAAGACTTATGGTACTTCAGAATGAACTACGGCGTATACAAGGAATTTTAAATAAGCCTGCTAAACCGTCGAAATGTGGCAGAGTTTACTTTGATATTAACTCAGTCACAGTATATCTCAATCGTAACTTTTGTACCAAGAGTCCACATGAAAGTTGGTTTAATCCTTCATGATTTCATTTCAAATTTTTGAAATAAGTTATGAAATGAAAAGCCAATGAATTCAATAATTTTGGTTAGTATTAAATTCACTTTTCGATAATTAAAGTTCATTGATTGTACCAGTTTTGAAGTTTATTTTGATTTTTAAGCTCAGTCATATGCTTTCGTAGTATTATTTAAATGCGAGAAGCAGGTTGAAGCAACACAAATGGCTACACTAATGTGTACGTCTGTACTTCGCATTAGTGAAGTGCATTTCAATGATCATATCCGATTCGAAAACATTCTTGATAGTTCCAGCATTTTATTGGAAGTTTATGCAATGGTTTGTTTTCTTCTAAGGAAATTTGCTTTGCTTAACAAAAAGATTTGAATTTTACTTCAAAAATTATTGTATTTACCTTATCTTTTAGCTATATTTGTAAGTATTTCGATAAAGTATTTAGTAATTTTCATTGCAGAAGATTCGTGAATTCAAGCGTTTTAATGATTACAGCTGCAAAGTCCTTAAAAACAAAGCCAAATCGCTGCTTAGTCCATGTAAATTATTGTTAACTATGTTCATTTATACTTTTTCGGTAATATAGTATTTAAATGATTTTTACAATTTTATTTTACTTGGATAATTTGTAAAATGTATCAAATCAATAATCTTTATTAATCCTTAACTTTGCATTTTTTTAAGCGAAACGAAATACAATGAAGGATTCTTGTGATATGCTAGAATTCACTTTCTGTGGGCATGCCTTTATAAATTGTCGCATAAGTGGGAACAGAAAATTTTATTTGGATGGAACTGTATATCCACTTGAAGGAACAGTTGACGTGCGAATATATTGCACATCACTTCCACCAAATATAAAAATTGATTTTCGAGGATTTCTTGTTAGACATTCTTTATTAAATTTATTCAAATAAATAAAATGGATAAAATAAAATAGGGCTTGGTTTGAAATTATTCATTATAAATTTTTTAGACAATGTATCAAATTATCTCGGGGTTAGCTTCATGGACCCGTTATTGGGCTGTGCTGCGAAACGGTACAATTCATTTTTGGAAATATCCTGAAGACGAAACGGAAGACAAAGTTTGTTGTTCATTGATTTGTGTTAAATAATTTCTAACTAATTTCTGGAATTTTAGCCAACTGTATTGCGCATAAATTTGGCGGATTGTTCCAATAATCAATTGATTCTTGTTTCTCGCGAAATTTATTCTCATCCATTTTCATTCTATATTGAACTAACAGCAACACCACTTTTAAATGATAAAACGCGGTAGGTTATATATTTTATTGCATTTTTTTACTTTCTTAATCTTGGTAATTTGTAATACTTTCAGAATTTTATTATCAGCCGATTCGAAAGATTTGTGCAATGCATGGATACGTGCTATCAATGAAACGTTGGATATTATGCGAGGCTAATGTATTATTGTCGAATGCGACATTAAAATTTTTTTCTAATTTATCTCAGTTAATATGTTTTGTTGCATGATTTAATTTTGATTTCAAATGATAAAGATAAATTCTTCTTATCTTTTATTGAATTGAATGGGAGTGAAGATTTTCTTATACCATTCAATTCAAGTGAATATTATACATTATTATATTTACGAATTTTATCATTCATTGAATTCACGTGAATAGTTTTTTCTTTTTCTTTTATTATTCCATTCAAATGAAAAGATTACTGCATTTACGAGTCTTTTGTTGACTGTTAGTACTCGTCAAATCAACTATCTATTTATATGCTACTTGTTATCTTTTTAATCAACCACTTTTTTTAACTTTTTTCGAATATTTCGTTGACATAAAGAATAAAGAATATGAATCGTTGTATTTATCTTTTATTTAATATCTCATTTCTGCTGACGTTTTCTGTTGAATAAGTTGTCGTCCTTCCTAGCTTTGGTTGGCTGTATTGTGTTTTGTCAGTGGATCATTAGAGATGCAAAAGTGGATGGCTGCAAGGCACACAGATCTAACTGTTGGTACTAAATATTAGTACAAAGTTGAGAGTGGTGCATTAAGTTTAAATTGTTGGGCTCTGATGCGAAAATATTTGGCAGAGTGCCAAGTAGGTTAGTGGCGGAAATGTTTGCTCAATTATGATGGAAAATATTAGGGTGGAGGGAGTCGTACTGTTGTGTGGTGATGTGGCGTCCCAGTTTCTTCCTGTGAACCATATATCTTCCCTCTTGTGTCGTTTGTCGTTTATTTGAAGGATTTTCGGGTTGAAAGTTTGGATTCAGGAGAAGAGACTTAATATTCTCATTTTTTATGCTTCCTTCTTCCACATATTTATTTTACTGGTTTATGATTTCATTTCAGTGCATAACTTAATAATTGGTCATCTTCAAAAAGCAGGAATTCATATCAGTGCTTTAGAAGGATAACGCAAGCAACTTCCTTCCCATCCCTTTTAATGCTGCATAAGTGATTTCAGAATATATTCCGTATTCCATTTTTCCATCATCCTGGATGATGCATTATCATACATATATACATATACATATAAAATTATATAATTATTCAAACATTTCACTATTAATAATTAAAATGACTAATGATAAAATCTACTATTTATTTATTTTCATTTTAAGCAAAATGTGGTTTCTTCGTAATTTGCCGAGACCGGATTCATTTTGGATTAGACCGAATTTCTTTGCATTCTATGGGCGATTTGTTGAGCGGATGGGTGTATTTTTTTACAATGAAGTTATAAGTCGTACCTCACTCGGCTTGAAGGATCCGCGATGGAACCCGAGAGTGCACGGCATATATTGTCATTTTCGTTATTATGGAAAATGTTTGTTTTACCTTTTCTATAGAGTGACGACAGAAGGAAATTTCCTAAAATCATCTCGCCGAAATTTTTTAATTTTTTATTAGTGTGATTGTTGTAACTAATTTTTAGATGTCCAATGTTTAAAGACTGTTAAACATTACTTTACTTACATATATGCTTTCAAGAATTTCCATCCATTTGAATGGGAATTTTAAAAAATTTTTTGTATCAAATTTAGTGAATGTTAATAAGCAATTTGGTGATTAATATGATAGATATGATAATGATAATATTTAATGAATTTAATGAGTGGTAATGATAATAATGGAAAAGATATTTTGAGCATCGTTAAATGATAATAGATAGTGGAAAAAGTATTTCGATTTTCGTTCAGGCATCGTTTAGAAAATTAAAAGTTTTAATTTTAGTGATTAATTATGACGTGAGAAACAAATTTGATTATTTTGACGTGAATTGCTATGAAATATTGGAATATTGGTGATTAAAAATTTGTGTTTAGTGGACACGAAATTGCTTGATGTAAAAATACGAGATCTACCCGCTTGGTTTGGTCGGCGTGAAAAAACGCTTAAAGCGATGTACTCTGAATTCCAAAGAAATGTTGCTCGTATATGTCATCTTTATCTTTCTCCTGTATATGAAAATGCGGTAGTTTTTATGATTGATAATGAATCGTTTGTCTTTTCTTTTATACGCTGATAATTTTTGGCACAAATTTTTTTTTATCAATTCAGTCACAAATGAAAACGAAAACTTAATAGTTGTTTCTTCATTTCTTGATTAGTGAGTTAAGGTGATTAATAAATTAATTAATAAGGTAAAAAAATTTTTTTGTGACGATTAGATCTTTTTATTTTAGCTCTTTCTATTTTTTTCTTCTAAGAGTGTACAGCGTGCTATTTCTGGTTTGGTTGTTTTTAATAGGATACAACCTTTTCCATCCATCTCCACTTTTTCTATATAATATGATATATTTTCTTGTCAGTTTGAATTATAAGAGGGTTAAAATTTTAAGTACATTTTTATATTGTTGATATATATTTAGATTTTTTAAAAAAATAAAGGAAAAGTAAAGTATTATAAGTTTAAAATAAAAAATTAAAAATATTGTGAATTTATTTTAAATAATTTTATTTATTTTATATTTTATTTTATTTTTTCGGATTTTGCAAAAATTTTTTAATTTTAAGCATTGCTTGAATACTGAATAATTTTACAGATTAAAACTGTCTATCGTATGATGTTGACGATTAGTTTCGTTCATTGGCTTGTGTATATCGATTATTATAAACCACGTCGTTTTGCTTTGTACCACTGGTAATTCGAGAAGAATAGTTGAATCTTTTATAGAGTATAATTCTGTAGAATGATAAATTTGATTATTACAGCTTATATAATGTTGATTAGAATTTAATGATGATAATAATTTAATTTAATAATTTAATGATGAAAATTTTCATTGTTTTATATGGCTGAATGGGCAGGCTTGATTATTGTTGGAATTTTACTATTAGTACCAATTTATTTCATAGATGCTTTAATCATTGTTTTTTATTTTGCCATAATGATGGTTAGATTCTACAACATTTACTTCAACATTTTCAACTTTTTTCGGTTAATTAATGTTTCTTCAACACATTTTTGTGCTTGCATATAAATTTCTTCCATATAAATTTTTCACACCTGAAAATCTTTGTTGTAAAGAATAAACATAAATGCATATGCGACTTAAATTTCATTTTACCGATGTTTATTCATTGTCTATATTTTTTTATACTAAAATATTCTTTTATGATGGTATTTGGAAAAGATTTCGTATTCCATTGAAAATTTTCTGACTTTTATTATATTATATTGCTCAGGGAGTGGGATTCAAAATATATATTAATTTTAATATGTATATATATATTAATTTAAATTAATAAATTAAATTTAATATATATTTAATTTAAATTAATATATATATTAATTTAAATTTATGGTATGTTTTGAATTCCTAATTCCTAAAGTCATTACTAAGATATACCTTTCAAGGACGTTAAAAGCTTTTATTTGGTATTTAATTGTAATTATAGGTTTGATGAAGGGTCGTGGTGCTTTAATTGTGTTTGAAGGATGTGATTGTTCTGGAAAAAGTAGTCAAGCAAAAAAAATTCTTGAAAAAATGTTCGAGAATGGATTTAAAGCGGAAATTATCAACTTTCCTGGTAAATCATTTTCCTTCGCATTAGGGCATTCAGATTATTCATTTTATCTGTTTCAATAATGTTGGTGTGGAATGTTTTCGTCAGTTATTTTTAAGTAAAAGTGGCATCTGTATTTCGCTTTTAATGGCTTCTGCTAGGTGGGTGGCACCTTCATTAAGAAAGAAGTAATATAAGACTTCTAATATAATATAAGTAATATAAGTCGCCATGCCTTCTAGTAGTTAATTCTATATTTCATATTTTCAGAAAATTGCCAACTCATCTAACTGGTTCATCATTCGATATCTTTTAAAAAAACGTCATAATTTCGTTTCTATTTCTTCTGTATTTATTTTTAGACCGTTCGACTGATCTGGGAAAGTTCATTGATCGTTACCTGAAGAAAGAAGTTGAAATGGAGGCAAGAGAGGCGCATTTGGTATTTTCAGCGAATCGACATGCGGTTTTTGATAAAATGAAAAGGAAACTTGAAAATGGTGTACATCTTATTGTTGATCGTTATGCGTATTCGGGTATTGCATACACTATGGCCAAAAGTGATTTTTCATAACATTTCAAAAGTTGGATAACTAGAAAAATGGCGTTTTGTTGGTTTAGTTAGTTATTTTATTTTATATTTGTTCTTATATTCCCCTACATATAATTCATTTGTACATACATTAATGAATTATCCAAAAATAATTTAATTAAATTATCTAATGTTTTTGGCTTTTATGTTGCTTTGGGATCGCATACTTTTTATTATATAAGATTTCACGGGTTATATCATTTTGATCTCCTTTATTTTTTTTGGTTTTTCACTTTCGAAAAGCCAAGTTTTTCACACTTGTAAATGTAAATATAAATGCAGCATTGGAATTCCAATATTCCAATCTTTGCCGTGTTCAATTTTAAAATTTTATTTAATTTTTATTTTCATTTTTAAATGCTCAGTGCTCAAGAACTAATTTTAAGTGCTGATTTTCAAGTGAGTTATGGTTTTCAAGAGAGACAGAAATAAATGGCGTAAATGGGACAATTTCAAATGATTTCAGTTTACGAACTATCATATAAACTAAACTTTATTTGTGATTTTCACTATTTTCAAAAGCGGAAAAAAATATATATGGGATTATTATAGAAACGTTCAACATGGATATAACGTGGGCGAAATTGCACGATTCAGGCCTTTTAAAACCTGATTGCGTGATATTTTTTGATGTGGCGTTTAGGGAAGCAGAAAAACGAGATGGTTTCGGTCATGAACGTTTTGAAACGTATGAAATGCAAAATAAGGTTTATAAAACCATGAAAATTCTGCAAAATGAAGAGAAAAATTTATGGAAGGTAAGAAATTTTGGCTTTACGGTAATGTTCTAAAATTGATCCAGAAGCATATTTACTATAATATATACTATATAACCCAGCTAACGGTCATGATAATGGTCATGTAACTAAAGAAGTATAAATCATAATTCATCCTATAACTTAGTTTTGTTTAAGGTGTTAAATCACATCAAATAGCAGCAATAGTTTAGTTTTTTATCTTGTTGAATAACATCCAAAAAAATTTTTAAATAGATTATTCACTAAATCATTTGCTTCATTTTTTCGAACTTTGGGTTTCAAAAATTTTTTCAGAAATTCTGTAGCAAACTTATAGTTTTTGCTTTAGCATTATCACCTTTAAGCATTATATATTCTTCTTTAGATAAATATAATTTCATACTAATGGGAATTTATGATAATTATAGGTGATAGATGGTTCCAAGCCTTTCGATGAAGTTACAGAAAATATATGGAATATAATTTCTCCGATATTAAATTCAGTTAGTGATCTACCTCTTGAACTTCTTGATTTCAAAACAAAATGTGATCCATAATTTTGCTTGAAAAATTTTTAATTTTTTAATTTAACTTTTATTATTTTAATATTTGTATTGTTTTCACTTATGCACTTTATTATTTATTTTGTGATTCTCCAATTATTCATTGAATTTTTTAAAATAGTACTTTGTTGAATGAATGGAATCAATTAAGAATTAAATTTTTCCTTAAAATTAAAGTTGGAATTACGGATTCTCCTGTGTTTTTCTTCTCAACTGCCTGACTAAAGAGTCTCTAATCTGTCATCCAAGGAATAACATTTAGTGGATTGAGTGTAGTGAAAACCTTTGGTTTTTATTCTACATTTGTTAAATTCGTATGCTGCATATTTATCCATTCTCTAATTGCACTAGAAATTGCAATTGAAATCTGTAGCAAACTTATAGTTTTTGCTTCAGCATTATCACCTTTAAGCATTATATATTCTCAATGCGAAAGTTAGAGATAAAGTTAGAAATTGCACAGCTGATATTAGCATGTTTGTTTTATCGAATGGGTTTACCATCCATAATGGCTTGCTTGGCTGGATAAGGTTGAAACTGGTAGCACCATAGGACTTTTGGACTTTTGAAGTTTGTATTGGAATTTGTTAGTTTTTTTGCAAAATTAGAATTTTTATTCGAAATTAATTTTCTTGTTTTTTTGTGGAGGCAATTCTAAACTTTTCATTCCTATTAAATATATATATTTTTTTGATTTTTTGAATTCGAAAATTCGGTCCTTTCCTCCATTGTTATTTGTTATTTTGCAGTTTAACTATTTGTTGAAATTTGTTTGTTTGAGATTTTCCGGTATATTTTCGAATTTAATAAGCTCTGTGATCGAAGAGATTTTTACTGTTAATTCAATCAAATATTTTATCAGAGATTATCAGTGAAAAAGACTCATTTATACTTTTTTAATTGTTATTTGTCTGTGGATGATTTGATAAATATTCAAATATTTTCATCGTTATTCCAAATACGTATGAAAAGTACCATCCGAAAAGGATTTTTTAAATTTGGTTTTATTTTGATAATTCTTACTATCCTCGTAATTATGATTCCAGTCTTCAGATTCTCCTCACTATTTTCCGGTATATTTAGGTGATCCCGAAAAATCGCCCATGTTTTTACTATTAACAGCACAATGCAATCAAAAGATCAGAATCATACCGCTTATTCGTTTTTTGAAACTGTACCAGATTTAACCGATGCCGGATCAAAAATTGTTGAAAATCTTTATTTTTCTTCGAAATGACTTAATTTAACGAGCGGATAAAATATCACATGATCGCATCCACCTTCGTTCAAACACCACCTGTACTAATAATATTATCACAGAGCGTCGCCTTCGCTGATTAGGGTACATTATCCGTCGCCCACCGCTGGAGCTGACGAATATTTCGTTATTTTCTAAATCGTGTGATGATAAGCGGGTTGGGCCAGTCAAGACCTGGACTGACACGGTCAGGAAAGATTTCGAATATGTAGATGGATCAGTAATATATGGACTTAGACGATGTAAAAAGGAATGGCTTCTATTACTGTCGACGATGGCATCAGACCGCGCCGTTTGGAATCGTTTTATTCTTGTAATCGTTGGAGCTAGCCTAACCAGTAATGGTGAGAGCGGTTAGATGAAGAAGAATTTTGAGCTGTAATTCAGGATCGCTGAAATCGTTGCCATGAACGTTTCAAGTTCGGTTCGGTTAGTGGAGACAAATTATTCTGCAGCACAAAGATTATTCATTGTATTGTAGTGCAAAGAGAGAGGCCATTGAAGATCCATATCTTAGTTCATCAAAGCCTCCTTCTTTATTCCTCTTCAGAAACATTCTTTAAGAAAAAACCTTGAAGAAATATTTCTATTAGTTTTTTTTGTGTGTTTATCAATATAAATAAATATTTATTCTATGAAAAAATTGTTTCAAATTAAAAAAAAACTTAAAAAATAATTTTATAGTCAAGCAAAATGATTTATATCATTTTAAGGAACAATTATCGTTTATCATATAAATTATATTAAATTTGATAGTTTTTTTTAAAAAAAATGGTTAAAAATGGTTTTTTTCAGTTGTCTTAACTATAGCTTTAAAAAAAATTTTACTTTTTTTAAGAAAATTCTTTTATCGTTTTATATTTGCTGAGAAATTTTCGGAAAAAATCATCTCAATGAATAATCCATGAAATAATAATTTATGTCGGTTAGATATGAATTAAATATGAAATATGAATAATAAATATGAAATTGCGATTATCACTGATAAACTTTCAATGATAATACGAAAATAAATTAAAAAATTTTATAAAAAGCAAAAAAAACTAACAATATCATTTTCTATCTAAAAATAAATTAATGAACAAATATAAATTTTTTCTTTTTTTTGACTGAATTTTACAATAAAACAAAACAATTTATAAATAAAACAAATATGGGAAAAAAAAGTTTTTTTTTAATATCAAAATCGAAATAAATCGGAATTTTTGTAAATTTTCAATATGAATTAAAAAATGGAATGGAAAATGCAAATAAAAATGTGCATTGGAAGAAAAGAAAAAAAAAGGAAGTCATTGGGAAATTATCACCGATTTTAGAAAAATTAAAAGATTTGTTTCGATTGTTGTGAATTTATTTGTGAAAATAAACTTTGTGCTGAAAAGCGTAATTCAGTCGTTGAACGCAGTATAGTAGAGGAATTATGATGAAGCTGATGATGATGATTATGATGATGGGAAGAAAGAGGAGAAGGAAAGGTAGGAGGAGGAGGAGGAGGAGGAGGAGGAGGGAGAGGGGCAGAAGGATGATGGCGCAATGATTGATTTGATGATGGCATTATCGATAAGCAGTTTGATTCGTGTTTTTTTATGTGACGATCGAGATTCGTTTGTTGCCCAAAGCAACGATCACAACGATTGCATCTAGATTTCATTCATTCATTCATTTCATTATTAATTTGTTCTATTTTAAGGGAAAATTGACGCAAATCACAATTATCTGCTCTGCCGAAGCATTTGATAATCATAAAGTATTCATTAAGAACGGTCATTTAATTGGTGAAATCAGCACAGAAGTGAAACTTCTTAGTGATTATAAGCAACCTGATGATTTTATTCATTAATTTCCAGAATGTAGGACAAATTTTGGAACAAAATGTAACAATGCGGTATTATTGGCTCGAATTCGTGTTATGAAATAAATAAGGTGACTTGATCCGATTGATATTTTCATTTCAGCAGTCCTACTCATTGTTGCTACCTAAACAGAGCAGCATGGTGGGAGCTCGCTCTTATCTCAGCGTGCAACTGCTAGGGTTAACGTCATACGCAGAAGTGAACCAGTCTTTCAAAAATGGGTGTACTGGTGGTGACCTATCTATATTTCTATCGGAAGGTGATTCCTTGACAAAAACATGCAGTGAACAATGTACCATTAAGTGTTTGTCAAAAGGACGTATTAACCTAGGAATCTTATCAGAAAAAATAATAAAAAATTACTTATCCTATGAAAAGGCAGAATTTTCAATTCATTTAAGAGTAAATTGATATTGGGATTTAAAATGAAAACTAATTGAATTAATAGAAGCGTTTAGCTCTTCGCTATCTTCAAGTTCCATGAATTCACTTCAGAACTCCTTATATTCTACTGATATATCTCCAGATCTTCATGCTTTTTTCCCACTCGCCAAATCCTTAACACCCGGCTTGGTACCATCCTAACACTTTCTTTTTACCTATTCTTTTAAATTTATTAGCGAACAGATAAAAATTATATTTGCTATATTTGTTTCCATCTCAGTTTGTTTGTCCTACAAATTCGAACTAGCCTATAATAAAAAAAATAAGAAAATAAAAATTTTCTATGGAGAAGGACCTGAAAAATATAAAAAATATAAAATATAAAAAATAAAGGCAATTTAACTGAATTTAATGAGGTTTTTAAAAGGTTCTTATAAAAAGATTTGGCTGGATTTTAGAGGTTTTAAAGGAGATATAACTGAATTTAGAGTTATCTGCAGGTGCAAAAGTCCACAATATGATCTCTTATGCCTCTAAGGAACTATCAACAAATATGTCTAATTTGGTTAGACTAGCATAAAGCGATTTATAACAGTGTTGCTAATTTGGGATTTAACGTGAAAAGTAATTGAATTAAGAAGCAATTAACCCTTCCCTATTAACTCTTATTAAGTTCCATAAATTCATTTCAAAATTTATTTGTTTAGTTGTTTAGAATAAAACACGGAAAATTTTCGTTCAAGTTGTTTTTTTTAAGAATCCTCATCATTACTGGTTAGAAACTTTGCTCCGCTGGTTCGCCGTACTCCAGAGAACCCCTTCTCGATAGAATTACAGGTGAATCGGCAGCATCACTCGGATTTTTGGACAGGTTTACTTTTGCGAAGAAAATCTGTGTTTCTCGGTTATCGCTTTTTTTGCTCGTTTCAAAAAATAGATATGCTTAAAAGTTAGTCGAGTAATGCCAGTATGTAAAGTATGGAAACTTTGAAGATTAACCGGTAAATTAAAAATTATCGAAAAATTTTGATTCATAGTGATACGATATAACATTCGCATTTTTCTTCCTCATCTGTAAATACTACTGCAGTGTACTCTATGTAGCAAATTATTTGATATATTTGATCTACAAAGGAGAAATCCTTTGTCAAACTTGTTCATGGTACCAATGAGCCTACAGTCGCACTAGACAAATATATCAGGGATTCCCTTGGAGTTAGAAGTACAAGAGAGTCACCACCATCACCTGGGTTTTCGCACAAGTTACTCCTCCTGGGAGTGGAACCTCAGTATCGGTACCTCAGTTCGAAATGAGCAATAACCTATGTCTCCACTATATAGTAAATAGTAAATGATAAATAAAATGGACAGACAAACAAGATAAGATAAAGATAAAGGTAAGATAAACAAAAGTTGATAAAAAAATTCTATCAGAAATCTTTTTTTCTGATATCGTTCCTAAATTTTTTTTAATTCGCAGGTATTTAAAAAACTTTCTTTTGAATATGAAGTATCAAAAAAATAAATTTACCTAAATGGTTTCTCTTTATTGTGAATATTTCGAACATGTCGCTGTAGATTAGAACTTATTGAAAATGATCGTTCACAATATTGACACTATAATGATTATAATAATTTGTAATAAAAATAAATTTCTAAAAAAAATAATAAAATAAAATTAGAATTTAGAAAATTCATTAAATTCATATCGGTTTATCTTCAAGCGCAAATATTAAATTTCTTTAGGTCAAATTTTTCAAATGTCATAGATCATAAGATTTACGCAAAAAAAGTGCCTATTATATCGGATAAGTCAATTCATTTCAGTTCGCTATTGTTTTATCATTTTATCATTCACTATCATTTTAAATAATTCTATTCGTTGTTTAGTAAGATATCTCAAATTAAGTTGTTTTTATTTTTCAATAAAAATATGCTTTTGAAGTTTTTATTTGAATAATTTGCAATTTGCAAAAAGCAAATATTCATCAGTTATTGTATATATTTTGGGAATAGATGGGCATTTAAAAAAAAAAAAATTTACCACCATATGCCCTGATTTAAAAGAACTAAACCGAATTTCTTGAAAATAATTGCGTCATTATAAATGAAATCGAAAGAAACCATGTTTTATCAACGGTGGTGACAATGGCAATTGGCCCGAATTGAATAACCGGTTATGCAAGTCTTTAAAATCCAGAAATGAATCTCTTCTAATAATTTCTTGATGACAACTGACCTCATCAAATTACGAACTGACCCAACCACTTTCACTTTTATTCTTTTCCCTCTTAATTATTTATCAACATTTAAAATAAAACAAAAAAAACCTTATAAGGTTGTTCACCAGTATGCGTCCTCAAATGTCTTGTAAGATTCGCTGAACGTGGAAATACTTTTGCACAAAATTTACAAGTATAACGATCACGATCACGATTATTCCGTGATAAAATTGATAATGTTGGCGGTTGTGAAGGTTGTGACGGTGACGATACTGCGATATGGTTATCAGTAGCAATATTAGCTGTTGATATCATTGTTGGATATGAAAAAGGTCTTCGAAACATATGCAAAAATGCAGTACTTGTAAATGGATTGATTGATGGAGTTAAATTAATTTTCTTATCATCAATAATACGATGATGAAAATTTTCACCATAATCGATTGATGTTGGTTCAGAATTTGGTCGAGTTTCAATATCAGCTTCTGAACTCGAACGATTTGACCAAATCTTTTCTTTTTCTTCATCCACTATATCATCATTAATATTTACTTCATCCTTTGATTTCATTGATAAATCTAATGGACTTAGTTCGATTTCTTCCACTGAGCCATCATCATTCGTATCGTTGAAATATTTCCTTTCTGCTGGTGAAATATTAGATGTATGCCTGCTCAAAATTCTTTAAATTAATTATTTTTTTTAGACTCTCAAAATAGATACGAAATTACCTGCTTCTTGGTGTGCTATCATCATCCGAACTTCCACTACCATTGATAATATCATTAGCAGCGCTGCCATTACTACCACTACCGCCACCATCATCCACACCACTTCCACCGCCACTACCATTTCCCCCTTGACCACTACCAATAACAATTGGATAAACGTCTTTACTAGGAAAGAGAGTATTTGACGAATCAGAAACGTTCGTTCCTTGTTGTGATGAAGCAATTTGAAGTAATCTTGGCCAATAATGCGGTGGTACTGTTAGTAACGAGTGTTGTGCTGCTAAAATATTCACAAACCTACTTTTTTAATATTAGAATCAAAACTGTGAGTGTAAACTATCAAAAAACTATTATTAATCATTAGTTTATCATATCAAATTTTTAGATGTCTCTAAATTGCCAAAAACTATTGCTAAATAAGCGGAAATATCATAACTTATCAAATCATGAAATAAAATTTAAAAAAAAAGGAGTAACCGATAGGCTTATAAAAAGCACTTAATGCAGTCATCTGTGTCTCACAGATTGACTTATGTTTAATAAATATTGAATGATTTGTTAACGATATATTACAATATGGGCATTGCCAACCGTCCTAAACAATTTATGTTAATTATTCAGTGTTATCTTATCATTATCACTGTTATCAATATTATTATAAATTACTATTGTAAATGTTCCAACATAAAAAATTTAAAAATGTGATTCATTTGATGAATTTTTCTTTAATAATAAAAAATTTTTTATTAAGATAAAGGGTTTGAATATTGATAAAATATTGTTGAAGAATGCGACGAACAAGGTGAATTCTCCTATGACGGCAAAGATTTGAAAATTGCGTATATGCTTTATTACAAATATGGCAACGATATGGTTTTGAGCTACAATGAATATGACTGTGCTGCTTAAGACCACTAAAAATTTATTAATAATTATCGATGAAAATCGATGTAAATTAATTTATTTTATTGAAATTTTTATATTTTTATTATACATATATGTATTTTATAATACGTATATTTATTTGTAATATTTGTTTTTATATTAAATATTCATTTATTAATAAGTATAAAAATTAAATGCAAAAATATAAAATGAATATGAAAAATATTAAATATAAAAACCAACAATAAAAAAAATATAAAGAAGATATTTCGTTGCAATAAAATTCAGTTAATTTGCTGAGTAAATTTATTAGCCTAAGAGCCTTTCAAACATCATAAATTTTTGCAAATTATTATAATTTATACATATTTATATAAATTTACAGGAAACAAATTATTGGCAATGATGGCAATAAATGCATATCCATAAATAAATATATCCATCCTTTATCCATTCTCCTCTTCAAAATATCCTTTATTTTTTGAAAAGCTAAAATAGAAAAGGAACCAAACTATGGTCCTAAGGATAAAAATCGATAAAATAAAAGCCATTCTTCATTTAAGCATTAAAAAAAAGATTTAGAAGCACATGCAAGTATTGGAAGTATGAAGCACTGCAAGAAAAAATGATAAACGAAAGGTACGATCTACAAGAACCTGGCAGATGAAAAGCTTTTTGAACAGAGTAAACACTGGTGTGATGATTGTTGTGATGATGATTGGCCACTGAAATATTTTTCTAATTTTGAAATGAGCATTAGGCGGACATGGCGTAATATAGGTCATTAGGACAATATCGCCCTTAGAAAGTGAAATTTTTAGAAAAAGTCTTGTAAAAGAAATCATCACCATCTTTATTTATTAATTTATTTATTATTATAAATACTTTTCATTTATTTGTTAATAAAAAAGTATTATTATTATTTTTTACTTGGATCTGCCAGTGTTTATTTTCTCTCCCTAAATTATTCCCTCCAATTTTTCATTTTTTTTTCAACCGAATTTATTGCTTGTTGGCCTACTGAATATGAACTCGTAAACTCACCGAAGACAGCTTCGTAAAACTTCACTTTTTAATAAATTTTTAATAATAAATTTTAATAATAAATTTTATATTTATTTTTTGATCCTTAAAAAACCAAAAATATATCACTTTTCTTTTATTCAGCTGATATAATTTTTCTACTTACATATTTTAACACTTTGCTGATGCAATAATCGTTTAAAATTATTTTTCTAATACCACAAATATTTAATACTATTAATAATGGCATAAATTGGCAATATTAATAATATTAATAAAAATATTAATAACAATAAAATAAAACGATCATTAAAATAATTATAGTAGATGGTTATTTGTTAAAACTCATTACATTCATTTGTTAATAAAAATTATGAAAAAAATTGTTTTAAGTTGAAAAAGAAGATTGCCTACGGGATATTTTGAAAATGGAAAGTTTTCCGACCTTTCTCCATATCGCCGATCTTCGTTGATCTCAATTGTCCGATCTGATATTAATCGCTCATTTTCACGTATTACACGACTCGTTTGCAAGCATACCTGTTTAAATGCTCATTTATTAATTAGTAATGATAATTATTTTTTACTCTTATAACAGCTTTTTCTTAACACTTTGAATATTAAATAGCTGAATAATCTTAAGGAAAATATGACATTCCTAAATATTATTTCTTTACTTACCAATAAGATTCAATTGCTGTAATAAATTCAAAAAATAAAAAAAGCTATTTGTCAGTTAGTTGAAATTGAAAAAATTAGATTATGGCTTTAAAAGCGTATATATATTACTTTACTTTACATATTGACTTTACTTCGATAATGAAAATTTAGATTAGCAAAATTATCCTTTTTGTCATGGAAATAATAGAATCTTATTTTGCCACACAGTTAATATTGTTATAATTATTATAACAATATTAATATTGTTATTAATTTTCAGCACTATGTGCTTATGTTCATATTATTTTTAATGATTGTTATCACATTTCTTATCATTATTGCTATTGTCAGTGGATGACAATCGTGGCTAAAATTTTATGCAGCATAGGGACATGTGTTGAATGCATTTTTGATATATCTTTATTTTAAATAATGAGAAGAAGGTCAGCTAAATGAGCAGGTGAGGACGGTGACTAGTCATTTAATAGTAACTATTGGTCACCTGGGAGAACATAAGACAATTGTATAGGTAATAACGTTTGCATCTTAAGCATATTGACATTTCATTAAAAGATGTACTAGCGAATGACCGATTAGCCATTATGTGACCATTCAGCCGATATCTTTTTTCCTTTGCCTCATTGCTTACTATATTTAAATATAATTGTCACATAATATTGCAAATTATAATTATTTTAATTATATATTAGCTTTATTTATTAATTTTTATTTTAATTTTTTGATTCCTATTTTTATTTTATTTTATTCATACTGAAAATAAGTGTGAACTTTTTACCACTAAATTAGACTTAAATTCTTTAAATAAGTAATCGGTTTCTAAGGTTTCTTTTAATAAATAACCAATTATAAAAGCAAATTCTATATTATTTGCAGGGGCGCGAAATTCTAGTGAAAATTAAAAAAAATTGATAGCAAAAGAGAAATATTGGACTTAGAAAAAAAATTCACCAGATTTATCAGATCTGTTAAGTAAAAAATAGCTAAAATTATATAACTTCAGATAGACGAAAATATAAAAAAACAAAATATTAAATAAGATAAATAAATAAGAAGTATATGAATATAAAATAAGAAAATGTAAAAAAAGTCGTAAATTCTAAAAGTTTCAAATTTAAATAACTTTAAAAAACCTCTTAAAACTGAAACTAAAAGAACAAATAAAAATGCAAATAAATAAAAAGTGGCAAAAACTAAGCAAAAATTTTGAAAAAAAAATTTACAAAATTATATAAGAAGCAACCTTTTGGTCAATGTATCGCACATTGATATTTATACTCGATTTTCCGAATTCAGGAATCGGACGAATTAAATTCAATAATAATATTACGTTTTCATCATTTTCACCTTCCTTAATTATTTCCTTTTGTTTTTCATTAAATTATGTCCATTTTTAATTAAAATATATTTAAATAAGCAATTCTTTTTTAAAAAAAGTATTATAAATAAATATAATTATTGTAATTAATTTTACTCGAAGCATACAAATAAAGTTAAGTTGTCATTAAGAAAATCATTCGAAATTTTCAATGATAAATTTATTTTTATCGGAGAAATGGCCTAGGCCTTGGCATTTGTGGCGACAAACTGAACAATAATCACTTGGTCATACTCTCGAATTAGCGCACATATAAATAAATGGAACTGATTTTTGCCTATTCATAGAGGATAGAGGGTACTGTTATTAAAAGTAAAATGCTATGACTACTGGGGAACCAATTTCATCGCTATCTTAAAGTTATTAACTGCCTAACAAGAGGACTTCCTCCTATAATCGATGGAACCAACCGAGCCAAAAATAATGCAAAATAAGAATTTCCTTGATTATAACGTTTATAGGAAATAATGTTAATATCCTAAAATTCGATGCTAAACACTGTAATATATAATGTTTTATTGTTTTAACTTATTAAAAATATTTTCAATCCTTGGAAATTGTTTCCATGTTACGCAATACTTTTTTGAAAAATTAAATTTTAATTAAATAAAATTGCTTAATTTAAAAAGAAAATTTAGGAAAAATGATAATATATAAAGGCGTTTTATTTAAATAATTTAGAATTTTCTTTTTTTTGTTTATTTGCTGAGAGACTACTGTGGGTGGGAAGGGAAGTATTGACGACGACAACGGCGACGATTAACTTTCATTGCTGAAAATGATTAAATTGATCAAAAGAATGAATGAATAAAAGGTAGAGAGAGTAGATGGAAAGAGGAAGAAATTTTACCTGCTTGCTTCCCACCTTAGAACTATCTACTCGATCTATCTATCTCGGCCTATTCATCATAGTCTACTCTAGCTAAATCTTAATCTATACCTCAATAAGCATTTATTCTATTTTTCATCGAGAAATTTTCTAAGAAATCGAAATAATAGTGAATATTTCTTTCTATTTCTCAAATATATAATTGCCTATAGAAAGCTTCCTTTTTTGTTACCCTTAGGGTACATCCTGTTTCCTATCCTCATCATCATCGTCGTTGCCATCATCATCATCAACATTATATTATACATCCCTATTTACCGTATATCGCCTTGAATTTAATCGATAAAACCTCTATTTAATAGCACTTTTGAAAATAAAAAATGGAAAATATTTTATACGCCTCAATTATTTCAAAATTTCAGTTGAAAAAAATGAAAAAAGCTCGATATTAAAAAAAAGCTATAATGGTTGATGAAATATATTTTAAATTAATAAAGTAAAATTTCAAATTAATGGCAAATATTTTCCATCATATTTTTGTTTTAACTTTTTTTTTTAACATTTTTAGCATCATTATCATCTTCTGATAGCATTTTGATTTGGCTAATCTCCATTGGTTATTAGGGTGAAATCTTTTAGCTAAAAAGCTTAGATCAGAACTATAGATGAATAAATATTATCAATTATCAGGATTTTTATTACCACTGTGATAAACACAAATAACGTTTAACATTGACTATAATAGAATAAAGGAATTACTAGGTGGTCTTCGTTAATGTATGCAAATTTAAACGGATGTTAATATCCGTTCTTATTAAAAACATATGCAATTTTTTTTCCGAGTTTATTTTTTGTACGAATTATTATATTTAGAAAATATGGAGGAATATTCTTTTTATTATGAAAAGGACATTGGAAAGAAGAATTTCGCTTAAAATATAGGGAAAATCACCTAGAAATGGAGGGATTTTACCTGAAAAAAGGATTACAAAAACACCCAAGCGAAAAAAAAAACATATTTTTATGAGAAGTTCGTTTAAAAATATTCGAAATATTGAAAACAAATTATTCGAGGAGATACAAGAAGAAATTAATTATTCGCTAATATAATATAATATTTAATGAACAATCAGTATCGTTCATAAATTATTTATTTGATTATATTTTCAGGTAAATCGAAGAAGATTTATTATTTATAAATAAATTTTGTTTTCTAAATGATTTAAAGTTTCGCAAAAAATTTCAGCTGAATAAGTTTTATTTTAAGTGTTTTGAACATAGAAAATTTCGAAATTTAAAATTATGAAATTCATTTAAATTCTATAAAAGTCTGAAACTTTGCGATAAATTGTGTTCAAAAAATTTTTTGAAAGCTTAAAAAATTTTATAAAAATTTCAAAATTACGAAAGATTAGAAAATTCGCAAAATTATTTTTTTTCTCAACCATGCAAACAATTTCAAACTTCCGTAACCTTTATTAAACAATAATAAAACCTTTTCTAAAGATAGAAAACCTAAGTTTTGATTTTGACTTTGATTTTGACT